TTATTAAAAAATGTGCGATTGAAAATGAATTATAAAATAATGTATTTTAAAGGAATGTGTGTGAAACAGGGCTAAACAGAATTTTTCTATCCCGCCATTGCATGGCTAAATTCAAACTTCCAAAATCCCTCCCAATCAAATTACCCAAACCCTAATCCCCGCCAAGTCAACAATAACTCTCAACGGTCTCCTCTCTCTGTATCTATATATGTATACACGATGTGTAGAGAATTTGCCGTTCTTGAGATATTTTTTGCATCAAAACCAGAAATATTTGTGAAGAAACAGTAGAATTTTACGTCTGTGCGTGTTGTTGGGTAGAGTTGAAACGTGGAAGAAATGGCTTTCCCTAATTCAGATATGTCAACTGAATCTGGATCTAAGTACACTCCGTATTGCCGGAAGCAGAAATCACTTGGTCTATTGTGCTCCAAGTAACTTTTTTGGGGAACCCTTTTTTTTTTTTTCCTATTTGCGTATGTACTTCTGTACATAGACGTATGAATGAGTACTGTTTGATTGTGTAGTTTCTTGAGCTTGTACAATCGGGACGGTGTGGAAACAATTGGACTTGACGATGCAGCCTCGCGATTAGGTAGTCATTTGAGAATTTTGCAGCATTTCGTGATTTTGAAGATTACATTTATATTATTTAATTTTTTGGGGGGGTATTTTTCTAGGGGTGGAAAGGCGGCGGATCTATGATATTGTGAATGTTTTGGAAAGCGTTGGTGTAAGAACTTCTAATATTTGAACTCATTTTAATTCTGAAAGTAATTACTATTTATTTAATTTTGAAATTTCTTTAATTGGATAGATTAAAGTAGAATAGATTTGAATTCTGGCTGATAATGTGAAATTTGAATTGGGCGATTTCAGATTCTTGCTAGAAAGGCAAAAAATCGGTATACTTGGAAGGGCTTTCGAGCAATTCCTAAGGCTTTGCAGGATCTAAAAGTAATGTTTCGTTTTTCACCCTAAATCCCTTTTAATGCTTGAATTATGAAAGTGAATTTATTGTATTTCACTTATATGTATTTCAGTAAAGAACAGTGATTTAGATTTTTGTTATGTTTAATGCTGTTATAGAATGAAGGTTTAAAGGAGAATTGCCATGGAGATGATGGACATTGCTCTGAGAAAGTAAGTAGCCATTTCTTTATATCTTCACTATAAGTAGCCAGTAACATGTTCCATTAAATTGCACATCCTCTACTAATCAAGAATTTAAATTTGTCCTACAGATTCGTTGATTTTTTTAGCATCAAGAAAACTGATCTTCTTATATTCAAGAGCAGATAAAAAAATGGGTTTTGGGTTTTCCGCTGCATCAGTAAATCTTTATCTTCTCGAGTACCTGATGCTATGATCTAGCATAAGGAAGCGCCTTCTTTACAAAAATCAAAAAGCAAAACTAAGTCAAAAAGCGCTACTTCCGAACAAACACACAACTTTTGCTCTTATACCCTTACCGTTTAAAGAAACTAACGATGTCCTCTTGTATCCACTTTTATCATGTGCGGATATGAGATTTCTTCGGCAGCCGGCAGGTCATAAAACAGTGTCAACAGACGGCCCATTAAACGTCCGATGGCACCTTGCTCGGATCTGAGCTACGAAACAATGAGATCCCTTTGATCCTTTCCGGATGTGCTTGATAGTCCCCCATAATACTTTCACTTGGGGCCGACCAACCTCTTCACGATTTGACCCTTTCATTAAGAGATGTTAGAGCTTTCCCATGACGACTAGGAATAGGCAAATAAAAAATTTCACTTTGAATTTCAGGTCCTTGCAACTTTGGGGGTGGCTTCTTTAAAGACCTATGTTATGTTATGAGTTTGGGCGAGCTCTTCACTTTGAGATGATTTGCTTCAGCAAATTCAACTTGATTTGTTTATATTATATTATATGGTTCTGCTATTTGTGTAGACTTTTCATTTTTGTGTGTAGACTTTTCGTTTTTGTAGAACATGTTTGAATTAATGAAATGGTTTATTTATGTGAGATACCTTAGAATCCTATTGTTTATCTAATTCACTTTCTAAACTGTGTTTGTTGATATACAAACTATCTGAATGGGAATAGCTTGTTTTCTAAGGTGAATTGCATTAAAAAAAAAAAAGGAGGAAGAAGATAAAGTTCTGCCCATAGCATTGTTGCAAGATTCCTTATTTTTATGTTGCTTTATCTCTCAGGTTTCAGATGACGATGAAGATGAAACCTACTCAGATACGAACAATTTAAGTCAGAATGATAAATCAAACCCCAATTCTGTTTCTAAACTTTCAGTGCCACAAAAAACTGGTATTGAATACTGAATCTTCTATGCCATGCTTGTTTCTTAGGACATTTTTTCACTTATTTCTTGAAATTTGCTTTTAATTCTAGGTGACAACAGAAAGGAGAAGTCTCTGGGGCTTCTTACACAGAATTTTGTTAAGCTCTTCCTTTGCACTGATGTAAGTGTAGACTTCAGATTTATCAGTCTTTTTTGATTCTTATCAATTTCCCAATCTGTGATCCTCACCATATGGTCTCATGTTTTCGCTACCTCTGTAGATGGAATTGATTTCTCTTGATGATGCTGCGAAGCTATTGCTTGGGGATGGAAAGCACACTTCAATGACCACTAGAAGTAATTTACGTTTCATTTTTCATTTACGATCTTACTAATATATTTTTGATTAACAGTATTTTTCTATAATTCTGCAGCAAAAGTCAGAAGGCTGTATGACATTGCCAATGTCCTGTCTTCCATGAAATTTATTGAAAAGGTGATCCATCTTGTTAACTACTTGATTGAAGAGGATTATTCTGCAAAATCACTTTTTTTTTCCATCTAAACGTGCTGTATTAACATCCTGGAGTACTTAGCCAACTATCTCAAAATTTATGTGGGTGATAAAATATGAAACGTAAACAAATAAGGCATCTAAAAAAGTACTAAAATATGTCTCGGATTATGTGCAGATTCATCACCCAGAAACAAGGAAACCTGCATTCAGATGGTTGGGGCTAGAAAATGCATCTCATAACGAGTCTAAGAAAAGGGTATTTGGGACTGACATTACCAATTCCACGTTAAAGAGGTGCAAGGTAGATGGGAACGCCAAGTTGCAGCTGCAAAAGCAAGGTAAACATCAGAGTTTGGAGAATGAGGATGACACATTAAAAACAAGTGCAAAGAGTTTCCAGTTTGGTCCTTTCGCACCTGTAAATGTACCCAAGGTTGAAGCTTCAGGCAATGGCAAACCAAAACAAGTTATTGATTGGGAAAGTCTAGCCTCTACTCATCGACCTCAGTATCACAATCAAGGTATCTTTTACTTCTGCATAGAATAAACTTCAAAAGTCCTGTTACTATTTAAATGACAGACATTCTAGATGTTGCACTAGCACTGATTGAACTATAACTTGGACAATCATGATATCTTCATTTATGCTTTTTGCTTCTTATGGCAGACTGCTGTTTGCACCTTGTTCCTTTCTTTAGCCCCTGTTTGACAACCATTATTTGAATTTTTTTTCTACATATTCATTTTCAACTACACATTCACAAAATAAAATATTCTGTACGTAAACCAAAAACGTTTCCCTACTTTTTAACTACATTTTTTCCTAAAACTCACTATTCTAAATGCTGTTTTTTGGAAATAATGGCCACCAAACATAGATAATAATTCTCCATGACTTGCTAAACTAATCTTGTTCTGTTTCTAATATTAACTAATTACTAGTTATTATCCGTCACAATGCCTTGATCTTTAATTTATTTCTCTGAAATTGTTCCAAAAGCTACACATTTTGGTTTTCTATTTCAAAGAATGTAGCACTTATACTGGTTTCAGTGTCCCTTTCTAAGCTAGTCAAATTTTAGCAGTAATCAGTTTAGGCATAGTGAATAAAGTCACCACCTTTTATTATTGCCTAAACAAGCAACTAATCAGAAGACATTTAACAGACTTTTGCAACATTAATGAGATCTTTTCTTGAATAGAGTACCATTTGTTTATGATATTACAGCTTTGCGGGATCTTTTCTCACATTATGTTGAAGCATGGAAATCATGGTACTCTGAAGTTGCCGGGAAGAAGCCAAAACAACTAATGTCTTGACACTTTGGAGGTCATCAGGAGCATTGATGTACATTTAATCTCCTCTGTTTTTCGTCATTTCAATATCAATGTACATTAATTTTCTTGAATATGAACTGATTTCTTTAGTATAATTATATTTTGATTTTTCAGAGATTGCTTAGTCTCAATTGAAGGATTGCTACAAGCACAATTTTTGCAAAATGAATAACCCATACACCGTTCATTTACGATCTGAGGCCAAGAGGGCCAATGAAAAACTCATCATTTTCCATAGATGCCAGTGTAGAGTGGTATGTGAATTCTAGGTTCTCTATGCCATTCTTGCGCCCAGATATTGTTCTTTAGTTCGAAATATATTCTTGATAACTTCGACAAGTCTTGGAATTCTTTAGCACTTTCTGTATTGAATATACTTCATAAATTGATATAAAAATGAATACTTAAGATGACATTTCAATCTTTCTGGCTTCTTATAGCTATTCGTCTCCCCTCTCGTTAATCCTACGAGTCCCTTAATACTCATTTAATCACACCATGAAGTCTATCTGAATCTTTCTATATCCTGCATCGGACCTGGTTCGACATTCTCTAAACCTACTGACTCGATAAATATTCATGCCATAAATGCAGCTTAGAGTTCATCGCTTTGAAAATTGACTCTCAATTAATCATTCAGCAATTCCATTCCAATACATAAATCAATTGTCCTAAGTGGCTTGTTTAGTACACGCATTTAAATAACTGGCCAAAAATGCACACGTCAACAATAGTTCCACCAAGAACATGTGGGGATTTTATTGTTTGATCAGAAAAGAGAGTTTCACAAGAAAACATTATCCTGTTATTTAACAGGATAATGCTGACGAAAGAGTTTCACAATGAGGATGCTGAAAATACTAGTCATGGTGACAATCGCTCAATTTTCCATACTCTCATTCCATCAGTCTCAATTGGAGAGTAAAGCAACCTGTCAATAACACAAAACAAGACACAAATGATTTGTATATTAGGTTGTAACGACGACAAAGTGCAACATTTGATTCTTGAACTCTATTTCATAAAATCACTCTTAACAGAATAGGAAGTATCTAAGATAATGATGGTTTATTCTCGATGGTACTTATCCTTGATGACAAGTTTTCAACTTTCACTTATCTGGCAAATTGATATTGGTGTTATAATTCCTTCAAGTCGAGTTTTTTTAACATGTATTTGGTCCGAGTCACCAATTTTTTGCCCTTCTTTTTAAAATCAAGCAAGTCTTCACTGATAAATTCTATTAAAAAAAGTTAAATTTCTTTCCAGTTACGTTTCTATCAAATAAAAGTTCTCTTCTCAGCAGTATTCATCTTTTTTCTTTCTGGTTTTCTGAGAACATATCCTCAAGTACAAACAAACACATTGTTTATTATACTACGTACAGGTATATGCTAACTAAACTCAAGAATGTTCCCAAAAAGGTCTGTGCTACTTTGAAATTGTAAATTAAAGCAACGAAAAATGACTTCAAACCACTCAGGGAAAACTTGACACTGGACTAGGCTCCATAATGAGCTATGAGACAATCTCATAAAATCTTACCTATCATGCAAGCGAGAAGGTTGTCCTTGCCAAAACTCAAAAAGCTCAGGTTTTAGTCTGTATCCTCCCCAGAATTTGGGTTTGGGAATAGTGCTCCTGCGCAGAACACAAAAGAGATCTTTTTTAGAGTTTTAAGTCGATATGGAAGACCCATTCAGAAAGACAATTTGGAAAATAAATGATTTGCCTCTTATCAAAAAAAAAATAAATAAATAAATAAATGATTTGCCTACAAGATGATGTTAAATATCATTTGGTTTTAGACATAACATGGATACTAAACCACATATATATATATATGATTGTATGCATAATCATGTACATGGAAACATTGATATGCTAGAAATTTGTGTTACCACTATAAAGAAAAAGAGAAAATGGATATACAGGGTCAATTTCCGCAATTATCTAAAAGCAATCTAAAAAAAAACATGACGCAGCAAAGGTTCACAGCCTAATCAAAATGAGACTTCGTTCAGACTGACATGGATATTAGGGCCGAAACCAATTCCTTGAGCATGAATTACTATTAGACCAGTAAAGAATGAATGACTAACCCATCAGAGTATTTCGTCTCCAGCTCTTCCTGTTGTTGGAGGAGAAACTGCCGTCCAGGAATTACAGTGCTCTGAAGGAAAACAGGATATTGGTCTTGGTAACTAGTGCAACCTAATCAGAAAAGCAATCAAGTTATAAGATAATTTTGGAGAATGGATATTAAAAAAAACCTGCTTGCTAACTATTGCTCCAATCTGGCTTCCTCTTGGACGGCTGTGGAAGTACTTCTCTGACTCTTCTTCTGATACTTTTTGCACTGGCCCTTCAACTCTTACCTACAGACCAACAAACAACAATGAAGTTTAACCATACTCGTTTAGGGAATCACTTTAAGGGAGATGTCTTCATGTTGCCACTGAATTTTACTTTATATGGCAGTTAACATTTTCTACAGGACTTTATTGATACCGAAACACGAGCTTAGGTGCAGCCCTGTCTAGGAGGTTGAGCAGATAGAAAAATGGTGATTTTGACACACTGAGGGGACATTGGTTTATCAGTTCATAAAATGCCTTCTAAATTTGGGTATTTTAGAAACAAATCCAATACAATAAGAAATTATAACCACAAAATTCCTTTGTCAATCCGTGTAATACTACTATAGAGAGAAGAGATCTCTTCCCATGAATAAAGAAAATAAACCACAGGATAATTATGGATCTAATTCTTTATGACACTGTGTAAACTTTGAGGAGACGAGCTCACCTGACGATTCAAACCATCCCAGTAAAAGAGGAGGGCTGCACTAGGATTTTCAGATATTTGATGAGCCTTTTGACTCTCATAATTGGTATACCTGCTCAGAGGATCAGAAGTTGAAATTCCGAAAGAAAAAGGTCGGGCTATATCTATGACCATAAGAGTGCTAGAGCAGAACTTACCAGACAAAACCGTCTTTGTCAACTCCTTTTAGCAATACCATTCGCGATGATCTGTGCAACATCAAATTGCATCCAAAATTTATCTCAAACTAATGAAGAGTTCTAGACATGAGATATGAACTAGATCAACTTAAAATGTTATCTCACAAGTTGATCTTAAGATGTGCCACAGACGCATTAAAACAAACTTGTAAATTCTTACACATCTTGCAAAATCATATTTTATTTGCAAGACTAGTATCTAAGAACAAATAAATCAGGCACAGTAAGACACTTACGGTTTCCCATCCTTTCCAGTTGTGGAAAGGGCCATAGCATTTGGTTCCTTCAGGCCTACTGCCACAGCATCATCAAACCATTTTTGGAACTGCAGTAAGAAAATGCTTTATTTTAAAGCAATATAAGTGATTTTTGCAGGTATGTAGAGAAATATAGTATCAAAATCAATGTAACAAAGTACTAAAGAACTTCTCATAACATTTATGGGATAAATATGGGCACGCACACACACACACATGTACATACTTATATCACACATCAAAAATTATAATTTATAATGCCCAGTCAATCTCTTAAACATGACACAATACCTGATCAAAGGGGTCGGCCTCAGCCTGGTCCTCAGAAAACTCTGGAGATATATAGTTCTCCCTTAGAGCTGATATGTCTACTTGTGGAGGCTTCCCAATTCGGACGCACATAGAAGTGCCAGGATATGCTGGAAGGTTAAGCTTGAATTTGTCTGCAATAGGTGGAGGGACAAATCTGCCACCTAGAAAGTGGTGCGGACCAGAAAACTTTTTGGCACACAACTTAGGAGCAGTTAAGGAAACCTACATATAGGTTGCACCTTTTAGAAGTTTCAATCAATGATGGGGGAAATAAAGAGGCTATCTTTTAGACGCTCTGAAAAATGGAAGAGAAAAATTTTGAACAATGGATACATACCAGCATGTCAGGTTGAATGCCTTCACCGCTAAGATCTCCTTCTTCGACATGCCATCCAGAAGGAATATCTACAGAGACAATGACAGGTGACTTCTGATGCTTTTGGTTGGGATTTCCTAAAGTGACCAGCCTTTTTATCATATCATCAAAAGGTGGCCTTGGGGTACCTAGACGAGTTGTACAGATTTAATTAGATATAAAAGATATAAAAGTAAAATTAAGTAAAGGCTCCACCAACAGAATAATTAGAAATCTCTCAGTTGCTTTAAGATTGAACTTAATGCAACTTCAGTGTACCGTATGCAACCTTTGAAAAAGAACTGTAATATTTATTTTTTTAAACCATCACTCACCAGACAAATGTCAACTTCAATGAATTAGAACATTAGAACTTAACGAGATGATCCAGCTATTGGCAACCTGACAAGATATTATCTATTTTTAAAGATTTTCAGCATATTTATATTGTTTAAAATACAGTGTTTGGTGAATTATTGATTGTGTAAAACAAATAACAGTTATAGGACCTAGGGAAAATGGTAATTGTTTATTTAGTTTTATGCTCTTCGAGTGGAAGGCTGATTCCGCAACTCTAGGAGATAGATCTCTCTAGTTTGACAGCATATATTCTTCAAACTTTAGTCATAGAGTTTTCTGATGGCCTTGTATCTAGTTGAAAATATAGCCAGAGGAATCATGAACATATTCATTCTAGTGTACTTCATCAGTTGCTTCAACATTTCTTCAGCACAGTATTTAAGCTAGCTAGACTTCATGAGGTTTTCAGCAAGTATTGTCCCATCACATTCTGTCTGTTGACATGGGTTCAAGAGTACAGCATGAATATACTATGAATTCACAAACCCTAAGGTAAATTTTCCACTTCCTGCCAACTAGCCTGAGTCTGAGACTTACAAATCTTTGGCTAGACATTGAAATTTACCTGGCATCTTATATTCATGGTTTTTCATAACATATCTGGAAATTTTTTACATTTTAGTGCTGTCATAAATACCATAGATATTAGAATAGTATATTTGTCTACAAAATAGTAGAAGTAACAATGTTAACGCACTCATTCATAGATTAGAGAGAGAAATTATCACACGCAAAATGAATTAGCAAAAAAGCTGTCCTAACAAGAAAACGAACAGACCAAAATGCTTTGATAGGGTGGGCTATCCTCAGAAGTACACTGGTTGTTGTGACCATAAGCGTGAGTTGAAGACTCCAGAAAAGTACGAGGAAAAAGAAAGAAAAAAGTTCTTTGCTAAATAGGAAATTTTTTACGAAGTTATTAGAAAAGTACACAAGAAATATGGTCATACACTTTCACGGACACAGAATGTACAGAAGGAGAATGTACAGAAGGAAAGCCGCTGGCAAAGGGTGCGTTAACATACACATGCTATGGACAACTTACAGAATTATATATTTCAACAATAACTTGGGATGGATGTACAACCAATGAGCAATTACTCAAAGGCGTTTTTACTTCTCACTTCTCCCAGCACTATCTTAGCAATAGGCCAAATAAACATGGATATACCATCAAATTAACATCAAGTTTCACAAAAATAAATAAAATAAAATAAAGAAAGAGGAAAGCACCATGGAATGAGAACCCAAACATTGCATCTAATAGAATGTCGAAGCTGCTTGACAAGTCCACCGGCAGCTCTTCCACTGACAGGAAAGGAACGGACAGCGACTCTAACTACAAAACTCATGCATAAGCAAGGTTGATGGATTATTCTATCTGTTATAGTAAACTTATGTTTCACTCCTATACCTGTGTCACCAGGCCACTGTAAAGAGGCTTAGGAGTACGCTTTGGGTAACAAATAAATGGCTTATAGCCAAAATGATATAAATGACGAGCAGCTACAAGACCATCGCCGCCATTATTCCCAGGACCACATATAGCAAGAACACGATTATGTTCACCTGATTTGTAGACCTGCCACAAAATCAATTTTAAAAGATCAACGTTCTCCTTGTTGTATAAGATGTCTAAGAGATGCTATTTCTTGTTTTGATAACCCTTGACAATTCTCATCCTCATTCTACTCTTGGTTGCATTCACTGAACTTTGTTATGCTTTGGTAGTTTTGTCACCAAAATGTTATGTCACTAATATGAAGTGTTTCCCAACTTCAACAGTAAGTCCTATTTTCACATTAGAACTATCATCAAGTATGAAGTGTTTCAAATCTGACAATATATCTAAATGACACCCGATGAAACTATCACTTTCCGTTTTCTCAATATCTCGCCTAAGAGGAAAGAAAGAAGGAAGAACTAAGCATGGTCACGTTTACCCTGAAACATACAAAATTCAATTATATGCGTATGTGGCACAATTTTTTATACCACTAGAGCAAGATTATTTCAACCTACAATATTTTCTCAAAATCGGCAATTAAAAGAACACTGATTATGAAACAAAAATTTACCTCAGCTATTGAAGTAGCCACACTCAAACCAGCTAATTCCTGCAAACAAAATTCACCTTTCATGCTACTAAAACCTGAAAGTATGAACCTAAAAACTACAGCTAAATTGAAAAAAAAAAAAAAAAAGAAACTGACCATTAACTGATCCGCGCTGAACCCAAGTGTACCCATGAGAATTTCATCAACTTCCGCTGCCTCTCGTTGATTTAAATAGGATATAGATTCTGGGTCTTGCACAATTTTAGCTGTTGATGCCATTGCTTTTACTTCACTACAAAATCCCGACCTACGAAAATTTATCTTCGAATTTGAACCCCAAAAAGCCTGTATTTTCAATCAAAGGTAAATCATCAAATTGCTTGTAGCGTGAAAGTGTGTTATGGAGAGAATTACTTACGGAGTGGAGAGAAGGGGGATTGAGAATGTGAGTATTCTTGAAATAATTAGGGAAATTGGGAGGGTGAAGAAGTGATAATTGATTGAGAAGGCATTTCATGGTTCTGGTTTTGCACAGCAATGCTAACATTTTAATTTTAGTGTTCTTGGTGGCTAGATTTGTAAATTTATCTAACTTTGTATTTTGCTTTTTGGAATTTACTAGAAAAAATTTAAACAATAAAAATAAAAACTTAATAAAGAAATTTTAGGGTAAATAATAATTTTATCTTCAAAATATATTGTTAGTGATTAAAAATAAAATTGGTTTGGTATTCACAAGGGAGTTTCTAACTATGTTGAAATACCTTCTTACCCTTATTACTCTCGTAACTACATTATCGGTTGAAGAAATTAGTTTCAAAGCATTTAATCGTCAAGTTGTTACTTGGCTAACTCACTCGCAACGTAGTGATCCCAAAATTGCAATAGAGGCTCTTGTGAAGTATTTTATTGAATATCGGTAGCACAATATGAAAGAGATTTTCATCGTTGAAACAAAAATTATAATATTCTATTCAGAACGTGTATTATTAGAAAAGGCTAAACTACGTGAATGAATGCACGTGGCAATATCCTTCCTTGGCCAAATCATTAGAATTGTAGGTTTTGCACTATTTACCTGAAAGTAAATGGTATTTAAAACTTATCTAATAACAAAATAAAAAAATAAAAAAATTTAACCCGTTGTTTGGGAATTTTGAGAAATTCTACCTCAAGAAAATATTAAAAAGAAAAGAAGCTAATTTTCTCTCTCAATAGTACGTTCCAATATTGAAAATTGGAGGGTTAATTATGTTAATGATCACTGAAGCTTTGAGTAATTAAGTCGGTGGTTACTAAAATTATTTTTTTATGATAATAGTCACTCAAGTTTCTAAATATTAAACAAATTAA